GACAGAATTTTCACCGAAGGGGAACTTTGTAGATTCCTTTAGAGTGTGTTTAAGGTTAACTGGAGGTGACATAACATTTTTAATTTTTAAATAGCTCCCTGTATTTCTATTAGAGCAACAGGCCATATAATTCCAGAAGCTAAAAATTACAGCTTAAAAAAATATAAGTCCTTATACACAGAATTTCTGTCTCTCTCTCTCTCTGCATGTATGTATATATATGTATATATACTGTTCTTTTTTTTTTTTTAAAGGAATATGATAATCTCTAAAGCAGCCATAGTGTTTCCTTTAGGTTTGGAAATGACAGTTGTATTAGTTTCATGGAAGGATTAGCCAGCTTCTGGGCTTCACGATGATCTTTGGTCTAGGGCCAGAGTGGTACCCTTGTGATTTAAACTGTGAGGGGCGGAGGGCTTTTCTTGGTAGTTGGTGGCTAAAAGTAACTTAAGGGAGTCTGACAAACTGACACAACGTCAGCCTTTCCTATCTTTTTCTTTCCAAATTGTTTCTGGTGAAGGACCTGCTCTTGAAATATTCTTATATCTCAAGAAAATTCATGGAAAGATTAATCTATATACATCTTAACCTTTGCTGGGATTTTCATTTATGTCACCTTAAGTTGCCATGCCAACTGTTGTTCTTCCTGCTATCAGTTAAAATCATTGGAAACTCATCATCATCCTTTACTCAGAATCTGTCTTCGAAACAGGTCTCTTCTAACTGCACACCCCACCCCCACCCCTGTCCAATCTGGGGCTGAGAAGACCACCAGGAAACCTCCACTAGTTCTTCTGTGCTGTTCTCTTAGGGCTCTATGTTATTCTTGTCCAGCTGATCCAACTCAGCTAGCTGGGCTGTTCTAGCATCTAACCTGGGCTGCTTTGTGTAGTCATCTTCAAAGTTTGGCTCGTTTTTTTTTTTTTCCTAAATATATTTTTAGTTGTAGATGGACACAATATCTTTATTTTATTTATTTATTTTTATGTGGTGCTGAGGATCGAACCCAGTGCCTCATGTGTGCAAGGCAAGTGCTCTACCACTGAGCCCCAGCCCAGCCCTAAAAGTTGGCTCTTAATCCATTACAAAATAAGACTGGAAGAACTGGATGCAGAGCGCTCCCTAGTCCCCATCCTCCTTTCTAGTGGGGAACAGGAATAGCCAGCGGGGATGGTGGGGGGTCCTAGGGGTCCTGGGCAAGGGGAGCTGCCAGATCCATTTGGCCACGTGGGGCTGGCCAGAGGCTGCAGAGACCAGGGGAAGGGGGCTGAATGCAGCCTCCATCACTGCGCCGAATCCCTGTCTTGATTTTGAAAGTAGAGAAGGCCTGACCACAATCTCTGTCTGCTTCTTACCCACAGTTGTTCACCCCGGTGGCACATTAGGGAACAGGCCTTGCCCCCTCCTGCCTCCCCCTAATCCCACACCATCAAAGTGTAAGTGAAACTGAGCCACAGTTTAGGACAGGTTTTTTTTTTCTGCCCTCTTCCTCCTTCGCTTTTTGGTACAGTAATGCACTTAGGCTGAAAGAAAATAAATGCTTTTGGACTGACACTATGAATGAGACAGGGATGGAAATGCATCTGAGTTGCTTGATTTAGGGACTTGAGAGAATAATAATCCTGCGCTCTAAGCAAGTGACTTGGAAAGAAAATGATGAATTTACTTCAGCTCAGGGTTCAACTTACAGAACTTATATATTCTAGAGCTTGAAGAAAAATAGAACTAAGGCTGATATATGCTTTTTTATAATTTAACCACTAAATTATGTTTATAGCTATCAAAAATATAACATAAAATTTACCTAACTACACAAATTACCTACTGAAAATAATTAAAAACTTAAGTCATTAAAGTTCCTATTATTACGTATTATTGTTGTTATTATTATTATTTATTTGTTTCCAGGAATTAAACGTAAAGGGAGTTAACCACTGAGCAACATCCCTCAGCCCTTTTTATTTTGGGCCCAGGGTCTCACTAAATTGCTTAGGGCCTCCTAACGTGCTGAGGCTGGCTGTGTACTTTCAAAGTTCTTGCCTCAGCCACTGTAGCCCCTGAGATTATAGGTATGTGCTGCCAAGCCCTGTGTCACTATTAAAATAAATAATTAAAAAAAAAACCCAACTACCTTTTATCTATCAATTACATGACATCATTTTTTATGGAGTTTTTTAAAAAACTGAATTAATCAGAAGGTTTGATCCAGACAATACCCTCAGTAAGTTAAAGCTTCAAAGAACAAGTTTAATTTAGATTCACAATTCTGTCAAAGGCAACAAGTCATTGTCAGGATTAATTAAATTATTACCTATGAAAAGCATATCAGTGATGTGCTAGAAGGCTAAATACTGGCTCAGGTTAATCGTAAAATATTTGATTTGCAAATATTAAATATTAATATTAAAAATATTCAATCCTTGGCAGTTTGAACTTGACCATTCCTTGGTAGAGGCAAATAGCTTGAGTTTGTCTCTACTGGGGAAATAGACAAACTCTAGAAATCAGGATTTTGTTTACTCCCCATCCTACCCTAGGGGAACCATGCTCCTGAGAGTTYTTCTGGTGGAATGAAAAAGTTCTAATGCTGATTTGTGGTGATGGTTATATCACTCCTTAAAGTTAATAAAACTTATTGAACTATGCACTTGAAATGGTAAATTTTATGTATGTAAAATATACCTTAACTAAGTTATTGACCAAAATGACCCCCCCACACCGTATWAAAAAAAGGCAAACATTTATTAGTGATTTGAAGATTCAGGTACACATCCAACACACTTAAAATAAATAATAAAACCACACTTACTCAATGCTTTTGAGAGTAAATATTCTGTGCAATGAGTCTCAGTCTCAGCCTCACTTTTGAATCACTTGGAGAGAAATGCTTTTCCCAGAGATACCAAGAATATTTGTCTGTTGTGTAGTCTGGGCACCAGGAATTTAAAAACAAAACCATAAAAACTCCTTGGGTTGTTCTGGTGCATAGCAAAGATGGAGAACCACAGTGATAAGCAGTTTCCCCAGATAACTACAGGTTGCCCATGTTTTTCTTAAAAAAAAAAAAAAAAAAAAAAAAACTAAACTCATATGCTTAATGAATTTCCAGTTTTTCTGAAAAGAAGAAGTCTAGACAGAAATGTACTTTTTTTTTTTTTTTTTTACTTTTTTCTTTTCTTGGAGACTCTGGACTTTGTATCGAGTGTCTATTCTTTTTACAGGGAAGGAAATGTGGAGTTTATCTATAGTGTCTTCTTCCTGGCAGCACAGTTGTCTACAGGGACATCCTACAGTTCCTTTGACATCTACGTGTGCACCAATAGGACTCAAGCACAGATCTTGGGTTTAAGGATTTGTTTAGTTTAGGGCCAAAATTGAATATTTTCTCTGTCTCTCTTCTCCCTTGGGGTTTCTTACTCCAGTGAGCTGTCAATAGATAACAAAACAGGGTGAAGCCTTAGAGCTTARTGATTCAATATAGTTTTGACACCCCAAGTCTAGCTTGAGCACTTCGACTTAGTGATACCTGTTTTAGATGCTCGTGGAGGGGCCTTTACCTTTTCTCTTTGGAGATTCAATAGAGAAGGACAGAGATATTATGGAACTCTGACTTCCTAGTAGCAGGAGTTTCCCTTTTGAAAATTCTACCTAGTGCATCTGATTTGTCATAAGAAGGTAGATCAATTCTGAGACCTCAGTTTTAAAATCTAAAGATGGGAATTACTGCTGAGCATGGTGTGCACACCGGTAATCTGGGTGACACAGAAGGCTGAGGTAGGAGGATGAACAGTCCCATCCCAGTCTCAGCAACTTAGCAAGACCCTGAATCAAAATAGAAAATAAAAAAGGCTCGGGATATAGCTCAGTGGTAGAATGCCTCTGGATTCAATCCCCAGCACACACACTCACACACACACACACACACACACACACACAAGGAAAGGAGTCACTGAGAAATTTCACAGTAATATAACACAAAAAGATACAATTCTTTTTCAGTTTTTCCTTGGTTAAAGACATGGCCCTTGGGATCCCAGCTTTGCCATTTCATTGATATTTGACACTGATGTTTGAAAGATAAGCAAGTTATTCAAACTCCCCTTTGGTGCTTGTTTTTCTTCTTTGTAAGAAGATGACAACAGTTTCTATGTTGTTGGGTTGTGAAGATCTACCTAGAGCTACTGACCCAGGCAGAAGGTAAAGGTTTGGCCCTCTTTGGAAATGCAGGTGTCAAAACCAGTCTCACAGGGTTATTCCCAGTACATTAGGTGAGAGGTCTGGTTTCTCTAGAAAATTCCCTTTTCTTCTCTTGTGTAATACTTGTTTCTTGAARTCAATATCCTGAATGAGCTGTGTCATCTAGTCCCTCTTTAAAATAGAACTCTGATGACTCCACCTACCTACACTTACCTATTTGAGGCAGAAGTTTTATTCTGTTCCATTGGTATTTAAAAGGCTCAAAGTTGCCCCTACAGATATACATACAAGAAAGAACGCATGAATGCAGTGTGAGGAGAAAGAAACTAATGAGATTGGGGCAAAAACTTCCTCATTCTCTCTCTTTAGAAAAAGTCCCTCTCACTTACAGTAGGGTAGGCTTTCTGTTTACCTTACCAGCAACAGTCTGTCAACAGATCACAAAAGTCTTTAGCAGCACATTTATTTGCAAAGCAGAGCAATATCAAGGAAACCAGGCAACATCAACTCACACATCCCAATTCTGTCCCTGTTTTTAAAGAATGTTCAATATTTGACTTTTGTCCCACGTTCTGTATTTATCTGCTTTCACACTTGGAAAAAATAATCTGTTTTTTACAACAGAATTAGGCCCCTAAAGGGAAGATACCTTACACACAGAGACAAATAAAGTGGCCAGTTTAGAAGACAGAGGTGGCAGAGAAAAAGAAAGAGCTAAGGATAATCATTAATTGAGCTTTCAGGATGGAGTAGCAGTTAAGTTCACCCAGAAAACACTTTGAAAAGGGGATTTTCTCTCTCACCCCAAGTCCTGAAGCAGCTCAGCGTCTCCATCTGATCTGCTCCACAGATCCAAGGGATCCTGGGTACTCATTTTCCCTTCTGGAAGTTCTGCTCTGCCCATTCGTGCCCTTCCGTCCGCCTGTGAAGCCCCTGCCAGGTGCTGTGGGGAAGAGGAGAGAGGGGCCCAGCTGCTCCTTAGACTCTGCTCCTCGGTGAACTGGGAGCCTGCTGTAGCTGTGAGTCTCCAAACAGTGAGGAAGTGAAACTTGGTTACTCCTCCCACTGACACTGTCACCCTGGCCCTGAGGCTCTGGCAGGAGTGCTCTGTCAGTGAGGAAGTATGCAAACTTAGGTAGCTACCTGGGACACCCACCCACACCGCCGGCAGGCAGTTTCTGTCAGAGACATAGAGGGRACCATCCACCTGGTATAGGAGGACATTAGTTCAAACTCTTTCCATGAGGCCAAACTATAACTTCTGCCTAACACTATGGGCTTCTCTGGTTTTTAGAGAGAATGAATATACTCATTCACTCACTTTCCTTCTTTTCTCTCTTATGCACACAAGGAGCACTAAGGAAGCTTCCATGTCAGGAACATCTGTAGAGCTGGTGGAGAAATCAGAGTCAAACTATCAGTTCAGCCCTGAAGTGTACGTTTTAACACTGTCTCGATATTTCTGCATAATCACTAAAACCTTCTGAAATACCCTTGATACTCAGCTTGGGACTACTCAGAGACATGTTTCTTCCATGAAAGAGGAATAGGGTGAAAAGAAGGTAGGAAAAAGTTATAGAGGTTATTCTTAAGCTCACCTAATGGGACATACTAGAATTCACTGGACTTACACCTGGTATGTCTTTGTGTCCATATTTGTGTAATAGAGGAGAATTCTCTTTGCCTGGATGTCTTAAAGGGTAACTGCAGAGACTTAATCCTTGGGAAATAGAACAAAGTTTAGTTATGAGTGAATATGTTGCTTCTGTCCTTATCTCTGTATGTACCTGCAGGAAAGAATGTGCTTTTGGGTGCTGACTCGTGTGTATGGTGTATGGTGTGTGTGTGTGTGTGTGTGTGTGTGTGTGTGTGTGTGTGTGTGTGTGAGTGTGTGTTTGCCTACCCCTCCCCACACCACCTTGCCATGACCTGACTAACTCAGGTTCACTAGGATGCTCTATAACTTATTTTTTCAGCGTGGTCTGAGAATTAGCAGCATTAGCCAGGTGAAGAGTGCAGAACTCAGGGTTTATCCAGTGTGTTAAAGTTTGAGGAGGACTGCTTTGCTGGACAGACACCAAGACAGCAGTGTGGTTCCTAAAGGATTTAGACGCTCGCTAAAGGCTGTTCTGTACTTCTGTGTCATTCCACCCTTAAAATTCTTCCTTGTGACCTGTTTCCCATTGGTTTGKGCAACCCTGGCTTACTTTTCCTGAGCATCTAGGGAAAGCTTGGGTCGAGTAAGCTCTGATCACATGCACATGATGGTACATCAACGTTTAAAATTCTTTTGGCTACAGGTTTTTCATAGAGGAATCAACTGTGCACTTGAACAGAGGCCAGGGAGGTACCAAATGTGCACACAGTAGAGATAGGGGAAMGGCCTGAGCACCAGATTTCCTGTTCCCTTTCTATAGCCCTTTGTTTAGTGTTTTAGTATCTATTTCGTTCCCATTTTAGCAAATTCTGTTTTTTTTTCCTCTTTGTTAACTTTTCTTTTGGGGGTGGGGGGGAAAGTAGCAGAATTTGCTCAGATGACCTCTTATTCTTTATCAATTTTTCTGCCTTCTTCTCTCTTTTAGCCATCCATTTTACTGCCTTCTCCTTTGATGTCATCCCCCCATTTTGTCATTTTTTTTTCTATTTTCCAGAGATCCTTCCCTTCTTTGCCACCCCTGCTCCACTCTCTACACATTTAGTATTTTAGCAGTGCTATCTGCTATAGCATTACTGAATGGTTTCAACAAAATACTGGACTTTTGTAAAAAATATTTGGTAATGTGCTTTTACATTAGATTTTTCAGATATTATAACTATTTTTTATTAAAGARACTTCAACTTTTGCTTTCATATCCCTTCCCAAGGTATATTTTTGAAAACCACATACTTCACTCRCTGTTTCAATAATCTCTTTTTCAATCCTGCTGATTCACACCACTGAATTTTTCCATATTGGCCTTAGACAYGAAATGGACATAAATGATCAAGTTAGTCTTAAAAATTTTGGAGCATCTTATTCTTTGTTGAAAAAGAAATGTGTGTTTGTATATGTTATATACATAAATTTATATACACATATATTTTTGTGTATGTACATATATGAGTACAAAAATATTCATATGTATGTGTATGTGTATATATATGTATATATATGGTGTGTGTGTATGTGTGTGTGTGTGTGTGTGTGTGTGCGCGCACACACTAGAGATCAAACACAGGAATCCACACATTAGGCAAGTGCTCTACCCCTGAGCCACTTCCCCTGCTTTCTTTGTTGAAAAAATATTTTACTTATCAAGAAATGTTAGGGCTGGGGCTGTGGCTCAGTGGTAGWGCACTTGCCTGGCATGTGTGAAGCACTGGGTCCGATTTTCAGCACACACATTTTTTAAAAAAATATTTATTGTTTTTTAGGTGTCGATGGACACAGCACAATGCTTTTATTTTTATGTGGCRCTGAGGATCGAATCCAGGTCCCGCCTGTGCTAGGTGAGCGCTCTACYRCTGAGCCACAATCCCAGCCCCTCAGCACCACATATTAATAAATAAATAAATAAATGTCTATCAACAGCTAAAAAAATATTAAAAAAAAGAAATGTTAGACCTGCACTAGAATTATCATCACATTCAAATTATAAAAATTTTCATAAAAAATTAGAGAATTTGTGGAGAGTTATTTTGGGTATATTTGAACTTCATTAGAAGAAAGAGCTTCTGACAGTTGGCACCCCACTAAGGATAAGTTTTGAAAAGAAACTTCTTCATATAGCTAAAGACTCTCTTGATCTTTTCCTAACTTATTTATCTCTACAGAAAGCTCAAATATTGCCATGTCTGCTCTTCACTTGACTGCCATTAATGCCAGTCCTCCCAGAGCTCTCCGCAGGGTAGCCCTGGTCCTCTTACCTCCCATGGTTGACATTTTGCAGTTGACCAAACATAGCTTTTTCTTCTCTGTTACTTATGTAGGTGGGAAATAAAGGATATAACCTGGGAAGGAAAACCCTGGCTTGGGGTTACCATGGACCAAGTTGATCACAGCTCAGTGTTGAGGGACCTTCAGTCTCTCACTGCCTGTTCTCTCCACCCAGGAAACAGAAGAAATGTTTGTTTTGTAYTGGAATGGAACAGGGAACAGTAGAGAAAGAGAGAATTGCCCGTTGTTCTTCCCTTCCAAGTCAGCTCTCCAAAAGAAAGGCTTCCATTTCTCCTCTTAATTCTGTGACAAGCTCAGAACTGCCATATTGCTTTTAAGAAATGTGCCATTGACTGGAGTTGTGGCTCAGTGGTAGAGTGCTTGCCTGGTATGTGTGAAGCACTGGTTCTATCCTCAGCACCACATATAAACAAACAAACAAACAAATAATCAATCTATTGAAAACTAAAAACAAAATCAAAAACAAAAAACCCTACAAAATATGCCATTGAAGTTTGACTTCAAATCATCACCTCTGTGTTCTCTGTTGCAAATAYGTGTTCACATCTGAAAGGTTAGTTCAATTGGTTGTTGTGAATTCCCTGGTCCGTGTTTCACTTTCTTCTTTGGTCCACAAAAGCAGTACTAGTTTCTTTGTATAAGGCTATCTGGATTTGGCTGTAACGCACCAACTTGAAGGTATAAAATTYACCCTAAACCTTCCTCTGCAGGGAGAGGAGGAATCTGGAAACAGAAATAAAGGGAGTTTCCTCAGAAGAGGAAGGGAAAAACCTAAAGACTTTGGATTTTACCTTTCTAATATATTCTTTTTTGGGGGGGTGAGGGGATACCAGGAATTAAACTCATGGACCACTAAACCATATCCCCAGCCCTTTTTTTCTATTTTATTTAGAGACAGGATCTCACTGAGTTGTTCAGTGCCTTGTTTTTGCTGAGGCTGGCTTTGAACTCATGATCCTTCTGACTCAGCTTCTTGAGCTGTCTAGACTACAGGCATGCGCCACCATACTTGGCCCCAATATATTCTTTACAAAATGATACCCCMAAAAAGTGGATGTTTGTGTGCACTTTACATGTTGAAATCCTACCCCCGTTGTGATACCATTAGCAGGTGGGGCCTTTAGGAGATGATTAGGTTATAAGGCGGAGTCTTCATGAATGAGGTTGGTGCCCTTATGAAAAGGACTCCAAGGAACTCTCTCAAACTCTTTCCACCATGTGAAGATACAGTGAGTATACAGCAGACTGCAGTCTAGAAGAGGGCYCTCACCAGAACCTGACTATGATAATACTCTAATGTTGGATTTGCAGCCTCCAGAATTATGAGAAGTAAATATATGTTATTTAAAAGCCACCTMGTCTAAGGGTCTAGGCACAGTGACTTGGGAGGCTAATGCAGCAAGATCATAGGTTTGAGGCCAGCTTCAGCAACTTAGCAAGACCCTGTCTTAATATAACCAATAATAATCATAAAAAAAATCTGGGAATGTAGCTCAGTCGTAGAGCATCCCAGGTTCAAACACACACACACACACACACACACACACACACACACACTCACACACACACACACACACACACACACACAGAGCTACCTAGTTGTACTACTTTGTTGTAACAGTTGAGACTGATGAAGATGCATGATTTTCTGAATGATTTAAAATTCTGAAAAAAAGTACAGTTGACCCATGGTGTGAGCTCCCAGATGCTCAGTAAATATTTCATAAAGGTTAATTTTTAATCTTCAAGGAATAAAGGAGAGAAGCCGAGTGAAGACACCAGTTAGGCAGATGGATACCCAAGTGGTGCTGAGGGCTCCTTTGGGTCTTTGTGGGTCACGGCTGATCACATGCCTCTGCTATGCCTGTCACCCCACTGTTCTGGCTGCTGTTCCCATAATTTCTCTCAGTAGTCATTCTACTTGCCTTAGGCCAATTTTTTTTCCTCTGCTCACCCACATGGGCCCTGTGATGTGCTGACCTGCTCTTGATCTCTGACATGTGGTTGAGTGTCTAGACTCTGCTGCTGCGTGTGGGATCCCACCACC